ATTTGGGAAAGCTTGTTTCAAGTTCCTGTTACTGGCCCATCTGTAGATGGGTGGTTGTGATGTACCTGGACCTAAGGACCAAGGTTTGCATTGGAGCTTAGTAGGTGCAGAATGGATACCGGGAGCCGAATCTGCTGGTTTGTGGGAGATTTGTATGGTCCCCAAAGGTAAATTACTTCTACAGAAAGCTTGGGGAGTGGAGGTGCGCATGCCTACGTACGCAATGAATGGTATGGAAGTGATGATTCAGAACGGCACGGAGTGATGATGAAGAATACCCTTTTAAAATGGTTGATACAGCTTAGACTGAGTAAAGACATCAAAAGTCCAATACTAGTATTTTAATTTTTCACTTTTAATGGCACTATTAGATTGGGTGAAATCTTACAGTTAATTTGGCATTTGTCCATGACTGGAACAATGTTAGGATTACTAGATTTTGCACCCTGAACAATAGATCTGGTGTTCTTCTAGCCATCTCCATGTCACATTATTCTGAGGCCTGGATAGGATGGGATTAAAATGGCCTCTAAGTACTTGTAATTAAGAAAAGGGAAGCTGCCCTTTGCAAAAAATAAGTTGCTTTGGAGATTGCCTGATTAACTGCTGGGCCTCCTTTGCACTGGGCTTTAGAATGGTTTCACGATTGGGATTCGATTTGTGGGCACAAAACCTCTTGTAAGAGAGAGAGCTGCCAAACTGAAAGGCTGTTGGAGGCAGGAGCATTGAAAGTGCCCTGTGGTTTGCCTGCACTTAATTGGTGCCCTTGTCCCCATCAGGTTGTGGGCGTGGTCTTTGTTCTTCTTGTGAGTGCTTTACACAGCCAAAGATGTGCATATCCTTAAAAAAAATGTTTTACTGTCTAACTGGGGAGGGCAGTTCTTGGTGTAGCACTTTCTCCAAAGTTTTTTTTTTCTTTTAAATTTGAAAGAATCTGGCCAGACTGAACTGGAGGTGGACGTTCTGGCATACATAGAAAAGTAACTGTGACTTGATAAGTAATTACTGTCTGGAATACTGTATAAGAACTGAAATTGTTTAGATGGAACAGAAACCCTGGACAGAGATTTGCAGTTGGAGATTTCATTGACCTTCATCATGGTCTCCTGGCCGTTGATGGAATGATTTATTGATTTGATTTTTATCCTGCCATTCGTACAGAGGCTCAAGGTTGTGTGCATAGTATGCCTTCTTCCCATTTCCCCCCACAACACAACCCTTTGAGGTAGGCTAGGTTGAAGGAGAGTGACAGCCCAAAGTCACCAACCCTTCCCTGCCCTAGTCCAGCACCTTCCCCACAACACCATGCTAGGAATCCTGAGGCCACAAGCAGCAAATGTAGGGTTAAACCAACCGAACAAAAATAATAAACGAATGAACAAGAATAGCGCAATGGCACCTGAGGGCAGTTAACCCACATAACCACAGTCATGTCAAGAAAAAGTGGGCTCACTCAACCTGCAGGCCCCATGCCAGGGGAGCATCCAGGTCTTCGAGGGTTTACAGAACACCAGCAGGGCTAGGGCCAAACGAACCTTGGATGTATGATGTTCCAAAGGATAGGTGCTGGGACAGATAAGGCTCGCTTCCTGGGTCCCACCAGATGGCACTGCTTAATAGATGGGACCTGGAGCATATAGGTGGCAACCGGCACCTTGAATTGTACCTGGAAGATTATTGGGAGCCGATGCAGCTCACAGAGCAATGGTGTAACACGGGCATATTGAGGCACATACATAACTGTCTGTGCCAGTGCATTCTGGACCAGCAGCAGCTTCTGAGTGGTCTTCAAGGACCACAGGTCTTGGGTCAGATCTCTCCTATCAACACCAACTGGAAGCATCCTTGGAGGATGGAAGAGAACCAGTGCAAGATGTGCCCTCCACTCCCAGTGCCCTGAGTCAGTCCAGAAGGATAGCATGATTGATGGTATGGAAACCTGCTGAGAGACCAAGGGGAGTGTGGATGGATACACCATCCTCATTTCACCCCCATCAGAGGTCATCCACAAGTGTAATCAATGCCATTTCAGGCCCATATCCAGGCCTGGTCCTTGACTAAAAGGAGCCTAGATAAACTGCTTCTTCCAGGGCCCTCTGAAGCTGCAGCACAACCACTTTCTCAACACCTTCCCTGTAATGAGCTTTCTTGTTCTTGAAAGCCAGCCAGGGAAGACCCATCTGATCCCTCTTCAGAAAACATACAGGTAGACCTTGGGTTACGACCACTCATTCAGCAACCATTCAAAGTTATGACGGTGCTCAACAAGGGGAATTAAGACCAGTCTGCAAAGTTGTGGCTGTCGCAGCGTCCCTGCGGTCACATGACCACGATTTGGGTGCTTGGCGACCAGCCTGCAATTATGACAGTTGCAGTGTCCCAGAGGCACGTGATTGCCTTTTGCAACTTTCCCTGCTGGCTTCCCACAAGCAAAGTCAATGGGGAAGCCAGCAAGAGATCGCAAGTTACTCCTGCTCTTGCCACTTTTTCGCCTGCCCGCCTGCACTACCCACCCAACCGCCCACCCTCCATAGCTCCTACCTGCGGCACCCACCCACCCAACTTTAGCACCAACCTGCATTCTATAGTGCCTGTCCACAGCACCCGCCCACCTGCAGCATCTGCGCATCCACCTGTATTCTGTAGTACCTGCCTGTGGCACCCGCCTGCCTGTAGCTCTCACCTCCAGCTCTCACCTGCTGGCCTGCTTACCTGGGACTCCCGCCTGTACCCACATCATGGTCACATGAGGTCCTTGCTTAATGACCATGCAGTCCTGGGGTTACGATGGCAATCTGGACTGCCAGGCTTGCCGTCACTAGGCAATGTGGTCATTTGACATTGCGCTTTACGACCACATTGCTTACCAATGGAAATTCCAGTCCCAATTGCCGTCATAACCTGAGGACTACTTGTAATATGGTTGACTGTTACAGAAAAGAGAAAAGGAGAAAGATTATCAAGAAGTCCATGTGATCTTGTCAAAAGCACCCATAAGAGAAAGGTTGATTCTTTGTGCCAGTGGGAAACAGGTGACTGACTGACCATTAGGCCAGTGTGAAGTGTGGATTAAGAGTTTTTTCAGAAGAATCCAAAGTAAAAAGAGTTCTCTATTTCCCTCACAAGAGAAGGATCATCATTACAAAGGACGGGGGAATCAGGAAGTCCTGGAAAGGTGTCTGCTGAATTTCCAGGTGTAGCCACCACTTAACAGAAATGCTCAGGGACAAAGAGCTAGCGAAGCACTTGGGGAGAGCAAGAGGGGGTACTAGGACAGAGCTCCCTAATGCGCTTCCTGAAGCAAAGCAGAGGCAACAGATCATAATGGTGCAAGTAGCACGCCACTCCCAGCGAACCATCAGGCAACCCAGTCACGCTAACTCCATTTAGAGTCTGGGACCTTCTTCGAATGCTCAGAGATTGAATGTCATAAACAGCCAACATGCTGGATGGCCTCGCAGGTGCATCCTGGCAAGGTCAAGGGTCTCTCCCCTTGAGTCCTTTAAGCACCGAATCTATGGCATTCCTTCCACTGGAAACAGCCGCCACCGCCACATCCTCATGTTCCCACCATTGTTCCAGTGATCCCATCATAGGACTTGGCGACTGCCCAGAGCATCCCTCGGGCTCATGGCCCACAGAGCAGCATGTTCCGTTGCAAGATGTGGTCAGAAAGGCTGTTCCTTTCATGGATTCTGGTGCTGCCTGCTCTGACCTTATTGTCTGGCCACAAACCTGCCTGTGTGAATGAACAGAAGCCGGGGAGGACGGGATGCAACAGAATGTGAAAGGGTGGAGGAGTAATGCTGTCAACTTCCATTAAGGGTGGGAAAGGGGACCAACAAGGATGGGAACTGATAGATTGTCAATTCCAGAAATTACTCGTTTTTGCAGGTAGCTCAAAGTCAGGTAATGAAACACGGGTTTCATTCATTAACAATGTGTGACTTGCCTCACGTTGTCATGGGATGGCCATGTTAGGACAGTGGTCAGTGGGCCCAATCTAGGTAAGTAAGAAAGGGAAGAACAATCTCAACAAATAGTTGTAGAAAATCAAATATTTTCAAATAAAAAAAAATGGAAAAAGCCAGACTTCACATATATAGTAAGAATGCCTTACTTAGTAAATTTCCTAAAATCTAATTTTCATTGTAATTGCTGAACTGTAATTGCTGTTACTAACTCTGAGATTTTAATCTGCTGTTTTTGCTTGCTATTTTTGTTTTCCTGTTTTAACAATGACTGTGCTACTTAAGTATATCTCTTTTTACTTTTTATTATTGAATTCATTGTACGTAGAATGTATTCTATTCTAAGAGTCTGAAACTTCTGAAATTTTTGAAATTTCTATTGGAGAGAAGCATCAGACTTCTGTAACCCAACATTCTGGGAAGAGATGTGTCCATCATTGTGTTGGTCCAGGCGACTATCAATTCCTGAACTGCTCCCAAGAAATGAATATTGAAGTCATCCAGTTTCATACACCTGGGGGACTCCAATATAACTTCAAGATAAGCTTCCTCTGCTCCTTCATGGATTCTCTTAGGTAGTACATGGGATTCCCAGTGGCATGTCCTCCTCCCTGGCGGAGGTCAAAGTCATCAAGGTGGTGGACGGAGGATCACAATGCAAACCGCACCTGTTTTGAACATGCCCATCACGGTGCTCTGTTTACCATCTTGATGAGTTGAGTCCCCCATGGACACTGCAGGATCTCAGCTGGGTTTTGAACTGTACTGGCATGACACGAGACCAAGACCAGGTTGAGAGAGCTGGAAGGGGGTAACACTCTCAAATGGCGGTCTCCCTGCTCCAGCAGGTGACGTGGTTCCTCCTTCTTGGAAAAGTCCCACAGCTGTCAGAAAATAAGGGCAGAAGAAAAATCAGTTACATAATTTTCTGTTTTGTGGAATATTTGATAATTGTTTTATGAAATGCACAGAATATTTCTTATTGACATCGGCTGCATTAATGTAATTTGCTTTTTTTTTTTTTCGTAGCTGATATTATTTCAACTATTGAATTCAACCACACAGGGGAATTACTAGCAACAGGGGACAAAGGAGGTCGAGTTGTTATATTCCAAAGGGAGCCTGAGGTATGATTTTTCTTTAAAAATCTCCAGTTATTGTCAGAGAAAAAAAACAGCTATTGTCAGAGAAACTCTGTTACTGAAGTACTGAACTGTGCATGGTTGTCCATCCCGTTCCCCAATTCCAGGTGCCTCCAGAAACCTTGCATGCTTTTTCTATCCCAGAGTGCCTGGATTTGTTTTCTTGTTCTCAACAGGATTTTTGGTTGCACATTGGATTATTCTGTCTGTATTTGTTGCCAGTACATGAAAAAGTTCTCACTTGCCAATTAATTTGAAAAGCTTACAAAGAATTGTTTGGGGGTGTTGCATAATGTGGCCTTTTTCACTAAAGGAAATGTTAGCTGGGGTGGGGATGGTGTAGGATCCTCCAGCTGGGAGCCGGAAAGGGTTTGCATTTGCAAGAATAGCTTATATAGCCCTGTGACTGGCTTCCCCACAGAGGGAACTCTTCTAATGTAGGGAGAAGAATGACCTTCCAGGGAGCCTGTGAATAGCATCTGGAAAGGCAGAGGCAGAGAGTGGGTTTCCTTGTCTCCTGGCAACGTTAGGAAGGCTGTCCGAAGAAACTGATTTGCAGTCAGTACAGAACACATCAAGGGGAGGCGAGGTTTTGACCCATTGAAGCAGATTTGAAGCCAAGATCTGCTCTGGAGCTACACATTGAACCAGGTAGCTCTGAGGCACTTTGGACATCCAGTGGCCTTTTTGCTGCTTGCAGGTAACGTACATATGGCTGCTTCCCTTCCATCTGTGGAGGAGCCTGAGGGGAGACGCTGAGCAGAGTGACGGGCCCCAGCCATGAGGGATACCACATCCAACTCTCAGTCCATCAGGGGCCTTCTGGGAAGTGGGAGGCTTTGCTTCCTTGGTTCCCCACCTCTAGACTGTCCTGCCGTAGGCCTGACCTGAGCTTCCTTGTGCTCTTGGGATGCATACCTGCCTGCTTGTCCTTCCGCACCTGGGGGTTCAGCTCAGCCCACAGCACTTTCACACAGCTCAAGATTGACTGGCCCTTGGCTGCTCCTGCGGGAACCTTACTTTAGATTCCTCAGAGTTGGGGCAATAAACGAACCGTTGTCTGGCTAACACTTACTAGGCTGGCCTAAACTATTTTTCAGACTAGGGGATAGTGAAGCTACGTCGGCCTTGCCTGGATCTGAGCCACCTCTTTCTGCTGCTTCTGATAATCAGATTTTGCAAGCATCTCAGACACAACCAAGCTCTGCTGCTGATGAGGGGAGCCAAGTGGGTACATGGGCCTCTCTTGCAACCTGCCCATCATGCCAGGATTACAGCTGGGCTCTTTCCGGAGTGACTCAGCCAAGCTCCCAGTTCTACCCCACCTCAGTTTTCATCCCATTCTGCCCGGAGTTAAGCTGTAATCAAAGCTCCAACCAAAACTGCATGTTCCCCCTGCACCCAACAGTCATGCCAGCACCCCAAAAATGGTCTTGGGGAAAATGCCCTTCTTGTTAGGGAAACAGCCTTTTCATGAGAGAGACAAGAGCCTGCTGTCTTCAGACTGGGTGAAGCCCACTAGGAGGACGAGGCAATCTGGGAGGATATATGGAAGTGTCTTAGGCCCAAAGCCAGGATTGGTGCCCATGGACATGGGGCAGAAGACCCCAACCGGCAAGGCAGCTCTCATTCAGGCATGGCCAGGTAGACGGTCCGGGGTGCGCCAAAGAACTGTGGCTCTTCCTTCCAGATCTTTCAAGTGTATCAGCCAGTGGGTGTTCCTGCTCTGAGCTGGTTCTCCTGGTTTATTTATGACATTTATTGATTTCCACAACGTATACACTCCCAAAGTTACAAGAATGTTAGATGATTTACATCTCTTAGTCCTGCTTGGAGATGTTTTTAACCACTGTTAGCTATGAAGAGAAGCCTGCTTTTTGAATATGTTTGTTTGCTTATTCAGTTTACGTGGCTGCCCATTCGCAGGTTAACATTCTGAGCAGCTAACATAAAAACAGCCCCCCCCAAATCACCAAAATAAATATTAGGAACACATCACACCTGAGGCCAGTCTTCAGCACCTTCCAAAAGGCTGACAAGATCAGGGCCATCTGGATCTCTGGAGGGGGAGGACAGTGCCACAACAGGGAAAACACGTCTCCTGGGTCCCATAAGATGGCAATGTTTAAGAAACGGGATCCGGAGCATGCCAACCCTGGCAGATCTAAGCGAGCATAGTCACCAGAGACAGGTAGTCCCACAAACAACTTGGCCCTGTGCCATGAACAGCTTTAAAGGTGACAACTAGCTCCCAGAGTTGCACCTGGAGCCCACCTCACCAGTGCAGCTTGCAAAGGAAAGGTGTACTGAGGTGCGCCTATAACTATTCACACTGATATATTCTGGATCAGCTGCAGTTTCCAGGTGGTCTTCAAGGGCAGCTCTATGGGAAGTGCAGTAATCTGGATAAGAGGTGACCAAAGTGTGAGTGACCATAAGTAGGCCCTCCTAATCCCAGGTCCGTACAAGTATGTTCTTCCCCATCCAGGCCCCCACAGCCTCCAGACACTGAGAAACAGCCTGGACAGCATCACTTGGTTGGTCAGGGATAAAGATGTATAACTGATGACACCTAACTTTATGCTGACACCCAGCAACTTCATATAGACGTTAAACAGGAGAGGGGAGAGAATAAAACCCTGCAGAATCCCAAAAAGCAGGCTTACAGGTAGTCCTCATTTAGTGACCACAATTGGGACTGGCAACTCAGTTGTTAAGTGCAGTGGTTGCTAAGTGAAACTGCAACTGTGCTTACAATCTTACTTCAGATTGCCTTTGCTTTACAGACCTGCGAAGGTTGTAAATGCAAGGATTTGGTTGCAAAGTTAACTTGGTCACTAAACGAGGCAGTCACTAAACAAGGACTGCCTATACTTGTCCCCATCAATACGAAGTAGAACTGATCCCAGAGGAAGTGGGAAAACTCCCAACCCCATGAACCAGTCAGAAGGATACCATCATTAATAGTATCCAACACCTTCAGAGAGGTCAAGGATGTACCACCACACCCTGATCTCACTAGGAGTTATCCACAAGTGTGATCAGTGCTGTCTCAGTACCATATCCAGTGTGAAACCTGACTGAAAGGAGTCCAGATAATCTGCTTCCTCCAGAGCCCTCTGAAGCTGCAGCCCAATCACCTCAACAGGTTCCCCCCAAAAGAAACTTGGAGACTGGATGAAAATTGTCCAATATTTCAGAAGTGGGATAGTTTTCTGTGCACCTGCCCTGAGGGGAGCCTAAAGGTAACAAAGGTTCCACATTTTGGGGTACAATTTCAGGTATTCTCACAGTTTGGGACATTCCTGAACTTCAGGGTCAGTGAGACTACCTCAAAATCCTTCTCAGAGCATCAATTCATGCATATCAAACTGCATCATTAAAAAAAAAGTCTCCATCAGATTCTCTAACTTTCAGGTCCTTCCGAGAATCCTCGCACTCCTGAGCCTGCCGGTCTGTTGCTTTCTGGCTGTGAAGGATGCCGGGGGCTTGCTGGGGCTGCTCGTCAGGGTCGCTTCGGCATCCTTGCATTGAGCTCAGCCAAGCAATCTGTCACATCAGTTGATGAGTATCAGTGTGAGGTCTCAGACCCATTTGTGCAACACGCTTTCCATGGTTTCTGTCTTGCCTCTCATTTCAAAGAAGTGCTGCAGCATTGCACCATGATTTAGCCAGCATAGCTTTCAATATTTATTTATTATATTTATATCCCACTAGAATCCAGTTAAGGAGTCTACCTTGCAACAGCAGCCTAAGCATGCAACATCTGTCTCTGGTTGCCAGTTCAACAGCTGCTTGAACTGGCAGTTATGCAGTTCTTTGTTTTTAATGTATTCCACAGTTTTCATTCCTGAGATATATAAGGCTTATATATAAGGATGCTTAATGCAAGATGGAGTAATGCAAGATAACACAACATTATCAGCAACTTTGGGTGAGGTATCATCAATGTGCTGCTGTTACTCAGAGATGTGTCACCATCCCTGGAAGCCTTCACGTTGTGTCCAGAGGCTGGTCCAGTGTTGAGTAGGTCACAGGATGCTAAGGTTGGGAAGCATTTCTCAAGTTCATGTGGATTGTTTTCAGCTTGAAGGTCTCAAGGTCATGGACAAGGGGTGTAGTTAGGCAAGGGCCATCATGATTGCTTTACCATACTCCTCCTGGGTGATTAAATCAGTGGGCGGGACTGACCCTATGGCTACAGGTGGTGATTAATGCTTCCTGGAATGAAAGATACGTTCCCATTTTAAAGAATTACTTTTACTGAAAAAAATCCTCTCTGGATTACATGTTCTGTCTCATTATAGGCCAGCCTCAAATACTCAATTCTAAGGTAAAGTGATTGAGAAGATGGTGGTCTTATAGCTCCAGATGGAGGTATTTGGAGCCATTCCAGTCAGGGTTTTGCCAGGGATATATTAGTGGTTGAAGAATTCTGTGTCTCCCTAGAAGTGGAAGTCTAACAACTTTATAACTAGAACAGAAACGAGATTTATTTACAGGAAAGATGATAGGAAGAGGCCAGGGTAACCAATCTTCCCAGGAGGAGAGTCCAGGAGGATATGCTCTATAAAAGGAAGGCAGAAGAAGCTACCTCAGATGAGCAGATCAAGAGATGTCCTATGCTAGAAACTAGATGAAAGGAGTACAACTCTGTTATTGCTTCTGGACCTGTCCATGGCTTTTAGCACTGACCTTAGTATCCTACTGGATCACTTACTGGGTTTAAGTGTTGGGAGCACTGTTCTGGTCCTTCCCTTGGGAAACACCCAGAAGATGATGCCGGTTGGTTGATCTATGGTGTGCCAGGGGTTCTCTCTTGTCTCCTACATGCCACCATAACGTCATTCAGAGATGTGGATTGGGGTGCCATCAGTATGTTGATGCCAGCCTGCTTCACTGCTCTCTACTGTATAACTCTAAGGAAGCCATTACAGGAAAAATGATAGGAAGAGGCCAGGGTAACCAATCTTCTGAAGATGTTC